CAACTATGAGAAAAAAAGAAAAAAAAAATTAAAAAGAAAAAATGAAATCAACTGTAACACATGCACACAAGACAAGGTGGCTCAGAGAGAGACTGTTTTCCAGTTGACAAGGCTTTGAGTAAATGAGAGAAGTGGTAGCTGTTAAAATTTAATGTAAATACATAAATAAATTTTTAAAAAAATTATATATATTTCTTTTACCATTTAAGTCTTCAAAAGTTAGGGTCTAAGTCTTTGTGTGGTCTAAACAAAATTCTTTGGTTTTAGATTCTCTAATTCCAAATGTTAAATCTATGACTCTCCATTATTCTAATTTTTTTCAAATCCCAGTTGTATTTTTGTGATATATGAAGCTTTATTTAATTAAAAATCACTCCATTGATAGGTCAAAATAAATAAATAAATAAATATGGGAAGAAACAAAGGCAATCTATAAAATAAATAGGAGAGGGAAAAGATATGATAAAACCCCATCATTACCCAATGATATCTTCTTCAAATCAGTTCTTTTTTTACTTTTTATTATTTTAAAAAATTAACTAGACCTCCATAAGTAGGGCTAACCACAGTACAATTTTTCAGTGTTTTTTTTTCATTTTCAGGGAAATTTTAAAAAATATTCAGATCAAATCCCACCTTTTTTTTTTATCTCATATGATCAAATTCTGATTGCAGATGTATCGGACGGTGAAGACCACAGACAGAGCAGCAGCTTCTTCAGGTGGGTTTTTCTTTTTTTCTTTTTTTCCCCTTCTTTTTATTTTTTATATTTTTTAATTTATATTCTAAAGTTGGGATTTTTTTTCAATATTCTGTAAGGCCAATCAGATTTATACGAAAATGCTTCATCTGGGGACACAAGCAATATTGAAGATATAATATTTGACATTCAAAAGCCAGCCATGGGAAGGCCAAATGAGAACTCAGGTCAACAAGGCAGGCAAAACCCTCATCAAGATAAGGACTATCATGCCCTCTGGAGCAATTCTTCAAGGTCAGTTTCTGTTCCAACTTCTTCACGACCATTCAACTTTTTCCTTCTCCCATCTTCTTTCTGAAAAAAGTGCAAAATGGGAACATGAAGATTCGAACCCGAACGGAAATCTTAAAGATGTGTTTGGTGGGTAATCTAGATTTGACGGAAAACAGAGTTCTATTCTTAAACATAAGATTTAGAATATTTTCAAAATTTTGACTTTTTGGGCCAGGTAGAAATCTAAATACTATTTATTCTTCATTGGAAATGGAATTGAATAAGCTAGATAGTGTAACTAAACTAACAAATTTACTTTATGAATAGGAAGATTTTGATAATACAAACAGGAAGATGGGCACAATTTCCCAATGGATATAAGAAGGAAAACAAGA